AATGCATTTGTGATTCATAGTGGCAGAGTCTAAATGTTTATTTGATTCATACTGGAGCTATGTAACTTTGATTGCATTTGTTTATTTTTTCCTTATGATCCAGGACTTCAAGATGACAGGAAGAGAGTTTCTTGAACTAGATTCTCCACAGCAAAGATTAATTTTGGAAAGATTTAAGCGGATGGAAATCATACAAAAGATGTTCAATGAGCTTCCTAAAGCAGACCAGTAAGTGCTGGTAAAATAAATGAAGATAAGTGCATCAAACATTTCAAGTCCTGGAGGCTTTTATTTTTCCTTATTCTTATATTACTAATTTTCTTGCAGTTACAAAATTAGTTAATTGTGAAGATGCTTGCTATTGTCCAGAACAGAAAACTTGTTTAATGTTTTTACAATATGGTTATTTCAGTGTTGGCTCTGGTCCTGCTCAGCAGGTTTCTGGCATGTGCTCCCCAGTGCCTAGGGTTCTGGGATGGCTGATCAGCCCTGACTGGCTGAGTGTGCTCACAGTCCTGTGCTAGAGCTAAGATTTTCTAGGAAACTGAAATGTGATTCTGCTGGAGTCATCTTGTGTCCAGCAGGGCTGGCCTGGGGCCAGAACTGATTGTGCATCAACCTGCTGGTTTCTGCATTTCATTCTGCACCACTCATGGTTTCAGGAAGGCGAGACTAAGGTATCCAGGTGGTGGTGGAGGAGTCAGCTGGAGTCCTGCAGGCTCACCAGCAGGGTTCTGTGCAGCACAAAGCCAGCTAAATGCCTTCTGGGCCTCACGAATGACCTTTTGGTTTGTGATACTGCAGGTCACTGCAAAACCTGAGCCGGTTCTGTTAGGAGCCATTTGCATGGGTGTATCAGCTTGGATAAATTTTTTAGAAACAAGAGTAATCAGAAGCTTGCTTATTTTATTTATATTTTTTTAATAGGACTAAATTGCTGGCTAAAAAAACTGCAGGTATTAACACAGGGCCTCCCCACAAAAGTGAGAAAGGCTGCAACTTTGTGTAGGATCTGCTGCCCTCACATTTAGCCTCCAAAACTCCTCTTTCCCCAGGATAGCAGGGGAGGCAGATACTCAGTAGTGATGTGGTAATGTCTGGATAGAAACTCAGGACTTATGGATTGCTGGGCCTTGGAAAGGAGTAGCTGCCAGTCCCTGGCAGGACTTAAAGCTTGTATCCAGAGGGGAGCTCACTAACGTCGGGAAAGGAAGAGCAAGCACACTGCAGTCAAACTGAGTTCCCGTTTACCCAGACACTTGTTTTTAACACTTGGGAGCTCAAACAAAAAAAAAACACAAATCCAACTCTTCCATCGTCCTTTTCTTTTCTTTTGTGCAGTATAACAGTTCTGTACGTTGCTAAGTGGATTTTGCTGGTCCTGGGTAAATTAATTTCCTCTAGTTTGGATACTTAAATATCCCACTAAAATTTTACTCTCAGTCCTCTGTATTTATTGACAAGCTTGCCTGTGTTTCACTGCCTGTGATTGTAAAGGTGAAATCTGAATTTTTAAATCAAGCAATTGTTGATGTCCTTGATGTCTGACATTATAAGATTAGCAAGTACATCGCCAAAATCTTTTACATATGATTTTTTTTAGTGCTTAATATTACCTGAAACATTAAAATGTAGAATTTTAAGTAGATTGACTTGACTTTTTAAAATTATTTTATTGTATATATATATATTTCCTCATTTCTTTACAGACATTATCCTTAGAAACATGCTTATTAGGAGTGCTTTAATGAAGCTTCCATTAACTCTAATAATGGGGGGGGAAAAAAAATTGTAGCAACAGCTTCTCAACCTGCTGCTTCACTCTTGAAGTGTGTGTAAACTCAGGCATACAACAAAGGATGCTGCACTGGCTGCTTTGGAAAGTAGCTACTTTCCATTTTGCTCCAGTGAGAGATTTACATCTCTTACCCCTTGTTGCAGGATTTTCAGAAGAGAACTGTAGTGTTGACTAAACTAATTTTACAGTTCTCAGTTGCTAAAACTATTTTCCTTCTTTCACAGGAACCTTTGTAATCATGGAAAATACTTCCTAGCAGCAAATTCAAGCTTATGTGGCTTAGCAGCAAATAATTTCTTCAGGAGCATCCTACATGTCAGAAAGGCTTCCTTGGTGTCTGCTCTGCCAATGGCTGTTATTCCATTTCTTTCAACAGCAGCAGTTTATGAAGTTTTTGTGCATAACCCTTTATTTTCAGGTAAAAATCTCTTTATTCTTTTTTTTTTTTTTTGAAAGGGCTTTGCTTTCTGTACACAATGTAACACTAGAAGAGCTTTTTCTTCCTGCAGAACAGTGCTATTAAACTATTGTGGTCTTAAAAAACCTTCAGTTTGTAAAGCAGAGTTTGAAAAACAGAATGCATCGGACAGCAGTGAGTTGTCAAAGTGGAGTGGAAAAGGAGATACATATGTTTATATATTTCTGAAAAAATTATTTTACACATTACTTATTTTCAGCATTTTTCACTCAAAGTCATGTAAAAGTGACTACAACAAAGAAGTTCAATTTGCCCCCATCTGTACAATTTCATTTGAATGTCAACTTTCAAATGATAAATTTCTCTTGGCTTGGAGTGGGAGTGATTGTTTCTGGTTTTTGTCTTTTTTTGGGGAGGGGGGACTGTTGTTGTTGTTTTGGTTTGGGATTTTTTGTTTGTTTTTTTTTTTTTCTAAAAGAAGAGTCCTCCTTTAAATTTTTTTGCATACCTGTACAGCTTGGAAGTTTCTGTCAAGAGCCTATTTTCAGGTTCTTGCACGCAGCTTATAAATTGATGTGGTGGAGCCTGTGTGGATACTGGCAGTGAAATATTGTTTGCCACGCAGGTCAGCTGAACTGTGAGGTCTGTGCTGTGATCAGAGGAGGATTAGTAGGTGCTGTCGTGGGTGGTTTCTATCCCATTTTCCTGGCTATCCCCTTGAACGCAAGCCTTGCAGCCAGGTATGTCTTTCTTGCAGTGTATTGATTGAAATGTATTTATGGGTTAAATGTTCAGTTCTTAGTGTAAATTCTGTAGATATTTAATCTGTACACACTTGTCTCCTTGTAGACATTTAGGATGTGGAAGGATATTTACATTAAGACCATCTAATTACAAAGGGAAGTCTGTAAGAGCTACACCAAAGTGAAATAAGATCTGCAAAGTGATCTATTGGGAAGCCCTTGTGTTTAGCAGGAACCTTCCAAGTGTCCCAGGGTGTGCCTGGGTGCGTGCAGTGGTGGCTGCCATCCTGACCCTGGGCAGTGCCCAGCAGCCAAGGTCCTGACAAGTGTCATTCTTTGTAGTTCAGAGCACAGCAAGGGCAGGGTGAGGCTTGGTGAGACCCAGGGTGGGGCCAGGATGTTTCAAAGCATTTATGCAGAGAGCTCAGTATCACCAGGTCAATTTAATTTAGGAGAAGGAAGAGAAAATTACTATCTACATAAGTATTTATGTTAAATCTTGACACTTGAATGGAAAAAAAAAGTAAGTTTCTTCCACTGTTTCTGTTGTTTAGGTATATGTCAACTCCCTTGCCAGGGAAAGAAAATATATTACGCTACTGGCTCACAACTGCTCGGCCTGTCTTTAGAAAGATGAGTCTGGCTATACTGGTACAGGCTGTGACTGGATTATATCTTGCCACTAAAGAGCACGGAATATATATCAAAATGCTGCTGCAGATGAACACTAGCAGGGATCCTGAAGAGCTACCTGAGTGAAGTAAAGCAACTTTTCAATTGCCTTGGATAAGTAACCATAATAAACAAGAAAAAGAGGTGTTGCTGTGTCTTTTTAATATAAAAATGAAGTCTCTGCACTGGCATTTTTTAAGTTTTGAACTTAAATGCAGGTTAAATTTTTCATTATGCCCATATTTAGTGTATACACCTGAATAACAGACAGGTGTGTTGCCTTGAAAATGGGAGGCAAGAAGGCATTTATAGTGCCTGCTTAATGTTTGGTTCTAAGGTGATGCTACAACTTTTAGAAGCTGTAAAAATAAGTATTCTTGAAAAAAGAGGGATTTTCCTTCTTAATGCAAACCATAGATATTTATTGAAAAAAAAATCAAGGCAAGGTTTTACTACAGATTCCTCAAAATCTGAGTATTTTTCTCCCTTTTCTCCGTTTTGCTAGCACAAAACTCATCACAAGATCACCCCTTTAACAGTGTTAGATGGGTCACAGTGTAGAGAACACTTTTATCACAGAGCAATCAGGAATGATAGTCGTGTCAGGCTTCCCAACATATCAAAAAAACCAGCCTTTGGCCTTGTAACCTTTTTGCCTTGAAACCAAGTCTTTTCCTGAAGGATAGGGCTGTGTCAAGAGACCTTTGAGGACCAATGCCCTTACTGACATATTTCAGCTATGTCTAAGATCAGTGGTGCAGAGTACTGCATTTATCAGTCAGGTGTGTCTTCACATTGGTGGCTGTATATTCTAGACCAATATAAATTGCAGCTCTCCTACTGCATGAGGTGTATTCTGCAGTCTGAGAGCTAAGATGGGAATGGTTCTCTCAATCTGATGTATGGTCTTAACCCCCCTAAGGTGGGGGTTGGCCTCTTCTCCCAGGCAACAAGTGCCAGGACAAGAGGAAATGGCCTCAAATGGTGCTAGGGCAGTTTCAGGTTGGACATCAGAAATTTCTTTACAGAAAGGTTTGTTAAGCATGGGAATGAACTGCCCAGGAGGTGGCAGGAGTCACCATCCCTGGAGGTGTTCAAGAAACCACTGGATGTGGCACTTGGTGCTATGATCTAGTTGAGGAGGTGGTGATAACTCAAAGGTTGGACTCGATGATCCTGGGGATCTTTTCCAAACCTAAGTGATTCTGTAACTGAAACACTGCAGTTACTGGTCAACAGTCACTTCAGTAAAATTCTACCATCCCCTGAGATGCATGTGGAAATATTTATTAATGAGAAGTAGGAATTCAGCATTGAGACCTTTAATTGAAAGGGGTTAAAATTTATGCTGTAATGCTGATAAAAAATATATGGAAGCTGTTTCATCATCTTTATTTACCTTAAAAATGGGTCATCACAGCAGGACCATGACACATTCATTCTCTATAAGCAGGTGCAGCAGCCTGATTTGTACAGGGAAGCAGCAATACAGACTCCCTGTTGTTGTTAGAGATAATTTAGTTTTCATTGATTCAAAGTGTCGCTGTGTCATGTGGTGTTTCCATCCTGCACCCAGACAGCTTGGCCTTACCTTAATCACCCCGACTGGAGATTCTCATGGAGCAAGTATTTTACATGACAGTGAACTGTCATATCTCCGGAAGCCATCAGACTTTAACCAACAGAACCACTTACCTGTGATAATAAAAACATAAAATAAAGGTGTTATTGTGCAATAGTATCTTGAAGAATGACAATGATTGGCTCAGTGATTATTGCAAGCATTAAAATAGTTAAAATACTATAAGCAGATTAATGGGTGAGACTCAAAAAGATCTCCCCTTCCATGTACTACTTTCATTTTGGTATAAATTGAAGTGATAATTATCCTGGCACCAAAATGCATGTTCTGATGTTTAGTGGCCTGACCCGGACAAACCACATCTTTTTAGATACTCATTTCTTAATGTGAAAGATGAAGATTGTATATTAAAAAAAAAGTTACACTCCTCAACGTTTTTAGTAAGTTACAAAGACCAATAGTTGTTTCCAGCATCACTGATGAACACTCAAATTGCAAGCATGTACTTTACATGTTCAGCACTAGTCACATCAAAGGTCAGCTGAACACTCCTGAGACTAGAAAGGTGGTGTGTTTGTGAACAAGTAAACTTTTCAATTACACCCTCTGTACTTCTCTTTAAACTATTGAGGGGAAGAAGTGTTCTCAGAAGTTAATCAGTAAAGTCTGAAGTTGCTTCAGAATTCCACAGGACAGCATGGTGCTGTCCCAGTTCTGGCAGCATGTGTGTAGAGGAGTGCCTAGTCAGGAATCTGGGAACGCTCCTTCCATTCCCTGTTTCATACTCAGGATATGACCTACCTCCTACAATTCCCAAGAGCCAGTCCTTAGCCTCTGACAACTGTAATAAACTCCCCACAAACACGGAGTGAGAACAGGTGTTATTGGATCCTTCCTTCCACCACTGTAGTAGAAACAGGCTACATATCCCAGAGACAGGACTTCAGGCTACTCCAAGTCTGAACTACAGCCAAAAGAATGCCAAGAATAGCTACAGATAAGAGCCAACAGAATTTCTAAAAAGGCATCACTTTTATCTTCTAGATGCACCATTCTGTCTCAATATTCTACAGCTCCTGCAAATGACACCCTCATCCTCCCGGTACACGTGCAAGTCCTGCCCTTGGCATCCTCCCGATAATGAGCACAAGCAGAATTATTTCTCCACATCTGCATATCCCACTTAAACTGTGTGGGAAAATGTAGAATCAGCAGCTGGTAACAAGCAATTTTTGCAGAGGGTGTTCTTTAAACAGAGTCCATTTGAATGGCTCCCATACCAAACATATCCTGCAGATATATTACAGTGTAACTAATAGTAAATATAGCCCTATCATCAGAATAGTGCTGATTCCAGCAGAAAACTTCCTTAACTACAAACTCTAGAAAGCATAGCATTTTAAAAATCAGTAAATGTACAAGAACCCTTTGTATTTTGCCAAAGATCCCTGTGTTTCACAGGGAAAACTGATAACAATTTTGACCAATGACATAAGAAGTCTGATTATTTGGAACTACCAATAAATGCCAAGTGTTGGAACATGGTTCACTGCATTTCCTTTGGTATCATCTCTCCAGACAGCGACACATTACAGAAGAACCAATTTGTTTTTAATGCCCAAATGCTTCAGATCTCTTCAGAGGAAACAGAAGTTAATTTAGAACACTACCAAGAGTCAACACCAAAATCAAACTCCAAAGAACTAAAGGAGAACTGAGCATGAAATTGTTCCATATTTAAACACTAAACAGTCTTCAAGTGACTCTGTTGGGGAAAAAAAAAAAACAAACAAACAGGTAAATGCAGGTAGCATAGCTGTGCAGCTGAACACTGGCAGCACTTGGTTCTGTGGTACATACAATATACCAAACATGTTTCAGTGCTGAAAAAGGCATTTCCTACAACAAGAGGCCAAAAAGGCCGAGCATGCCAGGATGCTTTTACATTTTTATGCAGTATTTTTTGTGAAATGCTCCTTTTTATCATGCTGCAGACCTCTTTCACTAGAAAGTGAAATGCTAGAAAGCCAGTGCACTATTTCAGACTGTCCTCTACAAAAATAAAGCATTTAAGATGAGCAGATATCTGAACATACAGTACATGGCTCACTCCAGAGCATTGAAAATGTTCTGTCCTTTCAGCACTGTCAAACATTTTGTTTTTAACACTCACACCAGTGTTTAGTGTGGAATATAGCAATTTGATCAAAGATTGTGATTCAACAGCCTGTATGGTCTGAATGAAATTTCAGAGCCTAAAAATAAAACAGAAGGGAGGAAGATGCCAATAGACCACAGAAGGGTCTATGTAAGTATTTTATTCCTCCATGGTACATTGATCAAACATATCCATATCAATAAAAAATTAGGAACAACTATGAAATACAAGAAGTGCTGATTCTCAGAAGTACAGCTCTATCACAGTTCAAGGAATAACAGCTTTGTGTTGTCCTTACCACAAAATTACCTTTAAAAACAGAAGAGCAAGAACATTTCTCCTGCATACCCTGACCCATTTTATCTTGTTTTCCAGTTGATGACCCAGAGATAGCAGCATTTTCCCCTTTCTGTTTTACCACTTTGTTTAATGAACCAAGTCATCCATGAAAAGAAAAAGATGAAAAAACATTTGAGCCCATAAACTGAAAGATCAACAAGTCTGATTTTATTATGGTATTGTATTCTTATCTGAATGGCACATAATTACAAAGAAACATTTACAATATATTTTCAAGTATTAAGTTACGTCATTTCAAGGCTTTCAATTCAAAAAGCTACATTAATAATACACCATACAGATAGTACAGTTGGTTAGAGTTTCAAATAACTTCCTCCCTTCTATTTGGTTTAAATATGATTCAGTAGGCACTAGAAATGCCTGCAGCCACTGACTTTCTTGGGACTTGACCTTGTTCTTGTACCACAATACATCATTTTGCATGTCAGAAAATCAGCTGCTCTCAGACACAGCCACAGGTTGTGTCACGACAGAGCATTGTGCAGGTTCACAGCAGAGGCCAGAAGAACTGTCCCTGACCCTGCCATTCAGCAGTGATGCAACAAGAAAGAATGCATATTTAAATTAACTTAAAAAACACTCCTACACTGAAGTAACCGTAAAAATGCCACTGGAACATCCCATGCTTGCTACATTAGTGTTTCTCTCTTCCTCAAGCACAATAAACTGCAAAATAAAGCACGTTCATGAAGTCTGAGCTAGGCAGGTTGAATCTAAATTATTTCCATTTTGCATATCAGTCAGTGCAGGTCCTGGTGGTTAATTCTGACTCCTGTGCACTGGTATAACCCATCAGTTACAGCAGTTACCCAAGTTACGACTGAAATTTTGAACAGCCCTGTTGATGCCACCACAGAAGTGTAAGGTCACACATATCCCACTAAGACTCTTTCATGCTGGCAATATACCCTGAACAGATGGAATTCTGCATACAGTGGAGTAAAACCTGTTTGATAGAATACTGTCTTTTAAGAAAAAAACATCTTGAATGACAGTAAATAATCCCAGCATTCAACTTTTTTTTTTTTAACCAAAGACAGCAAAAGCCCTGTTACCTCTTTATTCTCATTTCTTATACTACCTTTTAAAATAAAGCAGGAAATGTGGCCAGCAGCTGGTCCCGTCTCTTCTGCCCCAACACAGCTGAATCCACTTTAGCATAAAGAAAAACAAGGATGCTAAATACACATATACTTTATCACACAGTGATGTTTCACAAAGAAAAATCAAACTCCTTTGCTACTGATGAAAACATGACAGGGTCTAGCACCAATAAAGCAAGTGACTGGGAGCAAATGCTTTCACCTACTTAGCCTTAAACACATAATTTAAGGCTTTAAGAAACAAGACTTCAGAAACACTAAATAGCATCATTTTTTAAAAGAAATTAATAAATGAAGCTGTTTTAGAAAAGCATTCTTTGTGAAACCTCACTTTACATATTATCATTTTCACAATCCTTCTTCCCCCAACTGACATACATTTAAACAACCTAAACATTATAATACAACTGAAAAAAGAACCCACTCATCTTTTGTGATAGGGAGAAACACTGACTAGTACAAGAAAAAACACACTATTTGTTTGCCAAACTATTTTTCCTCCTATCTCAGGAGCAATTATGGAGCATTTTCATATCATTAGCCTCAAGATACATATTTGCTCATCTCCAAACTGTGCTTAATTATATTGGGTCATAGATTTCTGGATACTGTAAGAGGCTAAATCAAGAATTCTACAGTAGAGTTAAGCACGTGCATATACATGCAGTATTTTTAAAATTTAAAGCGACTCTGAAGTAACATAGGATTTTCAGTGTGCATGGGCACAGAGATTTATTTATGGGAAGGTAAAGTAATGAGTTACTTCGATGCACTGATTCTTCAAACCTAATTATCCTTAGAGGTCCATGCAAGAGTGACTCCTCTATGTGAGGATTCCTCTGTAGAGATTTAACCAGTGCTCAGGTTGTTTCATCAGGTCAAACTCTGCGTCATGAATTAGAGCAAGCTAGAGAAGAGCTTTTGAAAAGTACCGTGCATCCCTAACACTAGACAGCATTTTAAACCAACAGGTCACACATTCCTTTTCTTTTTTTCACTCAAAAAGCATTTACTTAGACTTTTGAGACAGTCCCCTGTAATAAAAGGCTATAAATGTCACATCCCCCCATCAGCATATTTTCCTTTTTCAGCTCATCAGATACGTGGTTTAACAGGAAATTTCTATTTCAAATGGTGCAAGCATTTCTTTAAAATTCGAAATGTAGCTCCTGTATTGGCTACTATTGTAGCCAATGTATTTGTTTCTAAAACAGAAAGAGGAAAACAGCTAATGAAAATGATGTGATTGTAACCTTTACTATTAGTTGTCATCCACAGCTAGAAACATTTTGGCAGAGTAGGCCAAGGACCAGAGACATAATTTTCTGAACCAGTCATTACAAGAGACTGGGATAAGCAAAGCAAGCTGTCTGATACCACATTATGGGAATATATTGATCCTTACCAGGTTGCGAGGTGGAAAACGACTGTTCTTTAACCCCTACACAACGGAGCCTGGCAGGGCAACCACCTAAAAGAGAAACTGTCAGAGAGGTTTTAATAGTAATGTATAACTGAGATGCAGTACAATTTTATATGCATGCTTTCTTTTGCCGATCATTACTATTTTCTTAAGTCTGTCCAGTGACGATGTCATAATGGAGTTTTTGTTTGGTTTTCTAAGCAAGCATTTTCGGCTCCTCAGGATAAGCAGGCTAGACATTATCTGACTCAAGACCGGGTAGTCAGCATTATCTTTACTGCGAAGTGGAGCCGAGCACACCTTCATGCATCAAGTCGGCATGATCTTTTCACCCAAGTGCTGCGAACGGGCTCTGGCGGCACCACGCGCGTGTCAGTCTGCACGACCACTGTCGCACTGCTGCACACAGCTCTGCGCGACTCCCATCGCCAAACAGGCTCACACCACTACCGTCCACACGCCAGATTTACAGGACCTTAAACCAAGGCCACCGTCTGGCTCCCAACGTGCCGTTCGAGAGATTTTTTTTTTGTTACCCTGCGCACTTAAGTAAGCGCCAGGCTCCCCTCCTTTGCATCTCCCCCAATACCACCCCATCACCACTGCATGGATTCTTTTCCTCCGCACCATCGCCTGCTTCCTCCGCCGCGACGCGAGGCCCTTACGGGTGAGAACCCCACGAGTACTTGCAGCAGGTACTTGACCCTACATTTTGAAGGAGGCCGCTGCCCGCCGAGCACAGATGGAGCAGAACTCCACCGACACCTGATCCCGGTCCACGTGCAGGCAGATCCCGCCGGGGGCCGCCCACTCCTCCTCCGTCTCAGTCACCGCCGCCGCCTCCTCCAGGCCGCGGGGCCGGGAGCTGGGCAAAGCGTAGTCGTGGTCGCTGCTCTCGCCGGCGGGCTGGAGGTGCTGGTACTGGCGGCGGGGGCTGCCCGTGTCCCTGAAGAGGCTGGTGCT